CCACAAATACGTCGTGCAAGCATGATTGTATTAAATAAATTATCCTGATGATATTAAACTAATATTTTCTTGTATACCTTTTTGAAAAAATGAGAGGATTTCTTTGGAATAGCGTGTTAGATATTATCCTTTCATTAAAATATTTTGTCATCTATGTCCTGTTTTTGGTTATTTGTATTTTTAGTCTGCAGTTTTTGGTGTGAATATTGTGAACTCCTAATCTTTAACATTCTGTCACATTGTTTGGTATTTCACTCATCTTCCTGCAGAAAGGAATAGAAAGTCATTGTACATTCATAGGCAAAGCCTTGTTTTATGTTCTGAAATTGTAAGAAAAATAATAAATCCTCGAAATGGTTCAATAAATGTATATAGCTATAGCATATATATATTCGCTGGGGGCTCTAATTTAGGCGACCGTCGCATTAAAGGAGCCTCAGCAATGATGCTAATGACGTCGTTCAAGTGCACCACACTATTGTTTTCGGCGACTAAATCGGCAGTTTTTACCTTTGGGTGCACTTTCCCATTAACTTTGCTGTTTCCCTCTAGCACTGCATTTTCTGAAAGCTCACGAAGGATTACAACCGGCGTGCAGGGCTCTACAGCCACAATAGCTTTCGCCACGTTCTTCAACACAATAAGTCTATCACCATCTGGTTTGTACCCGTTTTCAGCCATGTTGGTAAGTTCTTTAATAATGCTTAGATAAAAATCCATCCCGTCCTGGCACGCCTGGCTAAACAACGTCGACGAGAAGGGACGCTGTAAGGAGGTGAGGGTGGCGACGTCAAAGGTCCCATCGCTGCCCAGTGCGGTGCGCAGTGCCTCTATTTCATCCGGGCTCTTGAGTTCGAGAACCGGTTGGATGCACTCGCTGATGGCCTGGCGCTGGAGTTTGGACTTCTGCTGCTCAACAGCAAGGGCGGTAAGATCTTCCTTAACGCGGTTGACAACACTCACGGCATCGACACACAAACGAGGTGGCATCACACCGTAGAGAATCATACTCAGTAAGAGAAGTGGTGGCGTTGTGGAAACCGGGTCATATGCGTCGGCCTCTAAATTTAGCGCCAAATGAGTCGCACAGGGGTAGGCCTGGAAGATTCTAGTGTTATCCCGTTCAATCAAATTGTTCAAGTAGCGGTAGTAGGAAAGGGAAAGATCTGGCCCCTGCAAAGACTCGGCGTTGTCAAATAACGGCCTCACGACCCCAGAAAAGAAGTCAAAAATCAGCTTCATGCTCACACTTTGCTCTAGAACGGCGCGTTGGACGAGTCCGGTCGCGCGGAGGTGCCATGGCTGCCGCTCCGAGAGCCCGCAGCCAAGGATGGGCATCGTCGTCGGGTGAACCGAAAGCGGCGCCGCGGAGGTCGATGCAGTTGTCAAAGCCACGGTTCGATAGTTCGCGGCGCATCGGAGGGCCTCCTTCTCCTCCCGCGCCTTTTCAAGATCCCTCGTGAGGGACCGCACGCGCTCCACGAGGTACCCCACCTGCAGGCTCGTCTCGGAGGGACCGCGGACGACGGGCAGGGTGAGGTCCGTCTCCTTCCCCCCTTCCTCGGTCACGAGCAGCCCCGGCTCTGCGCGGGCGAGGGGGGTGCAATGGACGTCTGTCGCGTACGCTGCGAGGTCGGGGAGTTGGGCGTGAATAGCATCCCAGCTCGGCCGCGGCGTGAGCGGGCCGCGCCCATTCCCTTTCTTGGATTGGCTCTGAAGCGCCTCCAGGTGGAGAACGCGGCGGTTCATGATGTCAACCTGGGTCCCGCGAACGGCGACGGAGCGCCGCATTCGGCGTATGACGGCCTTCGCCTCCTCCACCTCACTGATCAGGTACTCCTTCATGCTCTCAAAGTCAGAGGCGGCGACAAAAGCGGCGTACTTCTCTTTGTACCGCTGCAAATCACTCTGGGCCTCGGAGCACAGTTGTTTGAACTCGTTCAGCTCGGTAATATGCCGCGTCATGCCCTCAATCGAGCTCTCCAAATCCTTCATGCGCCGGTCACACTCCCGCACTGTGCCGACCAGCACCACAATCTTCTCCAAATCGTCTTTACTCGTGCGCTCCATTTCACGAATTCGATTATGCGCCTGCTCTAGGTTTCGCCGGAGTTCAAGGATGTCAAGGGCCCTGAAAGTGGAGGAGGACTTCGGCTCCGAGGCATCGCCTTCGCCTAATCGCCTCCGCTCCTCAAGCTCGGCCTCCGCAGCCTCAAGTTGTCTTCGTAGAAGCGAGACGGCCTGTCGGAGCGCGATGAGATCCTCACGATGTTGATTGCCGGAAGCATCTGCCACCTCCTCCCGCGCGTACGCCTCCGTCAGCAGTTTAGCCTGGTATTGGATAACATTATCATAAGCGGTGCGCACATCGCAAAGGATCCCGGAGTACCCCGGAAGGGCGTCAATGAGAGCCCCAAGGGCCTCTCGATAGGGGCCAAGCAGCTCCACAGGCTGTTGCTGCTGCTGCTGCGAGGCACCCTTACTGTAGACTAAATGAAGCTCTCGGTCAAGATACCGGCGAAGTTCATGCACTAAAATCGGCTCCGACGTACTTTTGGAATGGGTGAGGGTAGAGAACATCTTGGGATGCGCACACGGTGATGGGTCCCTGCCTTTTCTACTGTGTAGGCCCCACTTGGAGAAGGCGTCTGATTTGTCGGGTTCGGTGGCATTGTGAGGTAAATACGATGTACAACCGGATCGGTATAAGTGGCCCGTTATCTTGTCCATGCTACGCTCATTCCGAATGATATTTTTTTTAGGTGGAAAAAGAAGCGATGCGGATACAGTGGAGCTGGCTTGCTGAACATTCCTCGGACCTTCGTGGTCAGTCGTCTGATATGTTAAGCTGGCGCTCTGCAGGTTACCACTAACCTTTATGGGTTCGGTAAAGGTTGCCACATGCTTAGAAAAGTCGAGATGCTGGCTCTTTGATTCGATCTTACACGAAACTGGTAGTGCGGCCTTTTTATATGTTTCATCCTCTGCAGAGTCTAATAGTAATAAACGACGTGCAGAGGGGCCTAGTCCGGATAGTGTTTGGAAAAGGCTACTTTGTGTATTATCATCTTGCAGGGCAGATGATGACTTCAATTTGTTTTTGAGACAAGGCAGTGAACCGGCGCCCTCATCGTTTGATTCTCCGACAGTGCAGTTTGCTTTAAGCTTGAAGATTGATGATGTCAAAGACGGGGACGTGAGATACTGAAGGCCTTGAATTGGGATATTGCTCGAATGATCACCTTCAGTTCTGTGCATGTTTTATCTACCCTTTCGTTTTTGAGTTCTTCAAAAAAGTAATTACTACGCTAGCGTGCAAATTATAGATGTTATAAACTATGGCAAATATATTAGGCAACTGGGGTAAAGGCCTATTAAGCATATGAAATGCCCTGGATCGATTATTTGCTCCCTTTTATTAAAATAACAATAAATTCAACATGGAGGATGTAGTTAGGAAAATCAAAAAGGATAAAAGTACATGGGTATATAT